AGTTTTTAATATTTTTTTGACACTACGGTATACTGATATTTTGGCTTGTTAGTAAGTTTTAAATAGAAATTCAATGAAAAATAATTGTATTATATAAATATATTTAACCTTTATTTGATCCCTATTATTTTTTTTTACATTTTTCTCTCTCTTATTTTCAATCACAAATTTTTCAATAAAATAATACTACGTAAATCCAAAACTTTTTTTAATTTTTAAACTCTACTCTGGACAACTTCTTGCTTCTATTTAAAAGTGGATTCATTGACTTTTCTATAACACATTTTCCATCAAATCGTTATTTCAAAATATATTTTTGACAAGCAGTGAAGCTCAAACAGATAAATTAAGATATATTTTACCTTATCTTACTGTCAAGGGTTTTGTACATGTTATGGCAAACATATCGCTTGAAAGTTATTTGGACAACTTATCACAATATTGATTGGGTACCTTAGAGGTCTTTTGAAAAATTATATGAAATGTATATTGGAAGTAAAAATTTCTTGGTAAAATTAAGTGTTACTTTTTGAACTTAAGTGTCACCTTTTTATTAAAAAATGATATGCAATGTCACTTTTATTAAAAAGTGATGTTTGTCACTCAAAAAAGTGAGCGATATTCAAAAGAATGACAAAAATTTTAAAAAGTGACGTACACTAAAAAAGTGACATATTAAAAAAAAAGACATAAAAGAAAATAAGTGACGAACACTCAAAAGGTGATAGAATTTTAAAAAAACGACAAATACTGAAAATGACATAAATTCAAAAAAGTGATAGAAATAGTATGATGGTGATATTCTCTTTGAATGATCAGTATCTAATTTACTTTGTTTAGACTTTTGGTAGAAATTTAGACATAGCGATAGTTTTCTAAACTTGTGACACAAATTCAAAAAAAGTGAAGAAATTGAAAAGTAAATGATTAATTTTCACTTTATTTTAGGAACTAAACACTATAAGTTGGGAGTGGCAGAATGTCAAAAAAGTGATAAAAATTCAAAAAGTTACAAACACTCAAAAAAGTGATAGGATTTTTTCTAAAAAAAGTGAGAAACATCAATCAAAACCTTAAAATAGATCCATGGGTAATCAATTTTCTTCCACTGTCTCTTTGTGATTATGTTTCACGTCATTTTAAGAACACAATACTATATAAGTAGGAAGTGGCGGAAACTCAAAAAAATGAAAAGAACAAAAAGTGACAAACACAAATCAAAACCTTGAAATATATTCAAGGGATGACTGATTTTCTTCTGCATATTGTCTATTGGAAATTATGTTTTACTTATATTAATTAAATATGACTAGAATCATTGGGCGATTGAAGACTCTGAAGCATTCCTTCTTATTAGAGTATTAATTGTCAAGACAATTACGGCATGTTAAATTGGTTCGATTGAATAATACTAATAAGGTTCCAAAAAGAAAAAGAAATGTCCCTCACCAATCAAATCCTGAAACGTTGCAAATCAAAAAGACAATTCGAAATGCTTTTTTTCAAGCACGTTCCCCCATGATTTTATATATCACATTTAATTTAATTTAAACCCGATTTAGAAAAGCATTTGTCTACTGATCTTGACATATATCCAACAAATTGAATTTCCATTTTGCATTTGTAGTTTTGTACCATCTTAAATTCTTCCACAGAATACATCCCACTACAAAGATTTGATTTTTCAATCAGAGATTTATCAATAAATTTAATTTGAACCTCATCTAGTATATTAAGATATACATACATAGCTTCAGAGAAAAACAAAATGGTATTTACCTATAGGCTATAGTTTCCCTTATTGCTTCTTGTTGGAACCACGAAGTCGGCCTCTACCCAGTCTGCCTAGATGTGGCTGCGACTGCGGCTGCGAAGGAGTTGCAACAGATGGTGGAGTTGTCATAGACTTGGAGAAAGTCCTAGTAGTCGACGAAGGTGGAGAGACGCGCCTATATATGCTCAGTAGGTTCTTGTCCCGGATACGACGGTGGCGTCGCCCTAACATCAACGTTCTGTCAGCTGAGCTCTTCCATCCACGTCTGCTCTTTTATGCCTGTTAAGGTAATGAAAATGAGAAAAGTTGAAGAAACACCACAATGTCTCTCTTTTTTTACATTTTGAGGTTCGAGATTTGTAGGTGTATTAATTACATTTTAAATTATTTAATGTGGTAATTACATAAAATCAGAATTTTTAAAATTCAATTTCAAAGATCGGATATAAACTATATTTATATAAAAATCAGATATTATTTCAAATATTTAATATTATTNTTCTTCAACTGAAAATGGTGATTTCGGCGTCCAGGTCGTCGGTGAAGGTACAGGAGGAAGGGCCTCGTCCGGGTTTTTCTTCGTTCTCTCCTTTCTCTCACTCTGCAAACTTTACAAGGGTAATTTAGGAAAACAAATGTCTTTCCTTGTTTTTTATTTTTTCCCCCTTTTTTTTTTTTTTACTTGGTCAACGGCTATTTTGCAAAAATGGACGGGTCATCCGGGTATTTGCCACTATTTCCTCAATTAATTTCCCACACATTTTCTCTCTCTACATCTCTGAACACGTCGTTCTCTCTCTCTCTTCTCTCTCTCTCTCTCTCACGGGCAACGGTGATGCCTTTCCCTCTCCTTGTCACGGTCTCTCTCTTTCCACTCTCTCACAGGCAACAGCGATGCCTCTCCCTCTCCTTGTCGCGACGCAGTCCCTCTACCGTCGTGGCGCAGTCTCGGGGCAGTTGCTCTACTGTCGCGGCATAGTCGCAGGTCAATCCCTCTATCGTCGCAATGAGTCACTGTAATCAACATTGTCAATCTGCTCCTCTTGCAGCACCGCTGCGTGCAGTAGCGTCGGGGACAACAGATTTGAGGATTTTTTGGTGGATGTGGTGGCTGTGATTTGAAATGGCGGTGATGTTTGTATTTGGTGGTGGTGCTGGCGGTCGCGGTTGTGGCGGGGACAATGGATTTGGGGATTTTTTACTGGATGTGATGGTTGTGGTTTGAAATGGTGGCGATGTTTGTAGTTGGTGGTGGTGCTAGCGGTTGCGGCCGGGACAACTGATTTGGGGATTTTTTGGTGGTCGTGGAAATGCAGTAACATCGTGAGTTTTGTTGTGTTTGTAGTTGGTGGCTGTGGTGGTGTTGGCTGTCGTGANGGTGTGTGCTGTTGAGGCTGTGACTACTGAGGTGGTGATTTTTTGGTTGTCGTGGAAATGTAGTATCATCGTGAGTTTTGTTGTGTTTGTAGTTGGGGGCTGTGGTGGTGTTGGCTGTCGTGACAGATGGCCTCTGTGGTGATGTGGCAGTCGAGGCTGTGGTGCGCTGATGGAGATGTTGGTGGCGTTTGTCGTGGTCGTGGTGGTGGTGCTACGATGGTTGTGGTTATGTAGTGGTGTTTGTGGTATTTTTAGATGATGATTTGTTGCCGGAAGGTGGTGGTGGTGGTTCTGGCGACGGGGTTCGGTTGTCATGATGTTGGTGAAAGTGATGAGGTGATGGTCACAAGTTTTGGTGGTTGTCACGGACTATTTGGTTGTTTGTGATCATTAAATTAATTAATTTGTGACATATAAACAATATGTGACTAATAAAAAATATAAATTGTGATCAAAAAATAATGTGTGACCTAAAAAATTGTTAATTTGTGATCGATAATTTAATAATTTGTGTCTATCTATTAAATTATGACTTACAATATTTGTGATTTGTGATCGATAAATAAGTTGTGATGTATAAATTTTTTATTTGTGACCGACGAACAAATTGTAACTTATAAAATTTCTGAATTGTGACTGTAAATAACTTGTGACCTAAATTTTTTTGTTGATTTGTGACTGTAAAATAATTTGCGATTTATAAAATTTCTGATTTGTGACCAGACATATAAAATTTTTGAATTGTGACCGTAAAATAATATGTAACGTCTCAATTTTTTATTTGCGACTGATGAACAAAATGTAACCTATAAAATTTTGAATTGTGACTGTAAAATAATTTGGGACTTGTAAAAATTGTGATTTGTGACCACTTATATGGAATTTGAGATCAAATTATATGGAATTGTGACCTTAATATATTTAATTAATAAAATATATGTTTCATTAATTAATTTCTAAAAAAAATATGAGATTTGAAATTTTAAACCTTAAAAAATTTAAAATTTGAAATTTTAAACTTTATATCTCAAATTGGAAATGGGTAAAACTAAACCTCTTACTTATGAAATTTCCCCTTATTTAATTAGTTTAAAATGGTGCTATTCAATTTTCTAGCTTTTGGACCGTATTTGGCCTAATTTCCTCAACTAGATATTCCATCCCCAAATAGCCGAAGACAATTTGAGAAACATCAAACACTAAAAAAAAATGTCTGAGAAGGAACTAACTGAATCTGTGTGAACAATGATAGATATCCAATCCAATCCACAGAATTTTTTTTGTAGTGACAGATTCGATTACCGTATAGTAGCTTGTTGGCGCTTGGAAATCACAGGCAGTGGCGACGCAGTCAAGTTGAGGTGTATCCGTGTGATTTCAATTCAGCAATTTGAAAAAAGAAGGGGTACTTACAAAAATACATTTAAAATGAGGAATGTTTTAAAAAATCATATGAAAAGTTTTCAGAAAGTAAAAAATACTGTGTAAAATTAAAAAAGTGATAAAATGCCACTTTTTTATAAAAATTGTCACATTTTTACTTTTTTTTAAAAAAAGTGACAAAAACTCAAAAAAAGTGACAAAACTAAAAAAGTGACAAATACCAAAATAACACCATTAATTTGGGCAGCACCAATAGTCATGTTCTTAAAATAATCACCACGTCCAAATCAATCTACATGCTGATTATGTAAAAAAGTGACAATGAAAAAGTGATATATTGTCACTTTTAAAGTTAAGTGTCACTTTTTCATTAAAAAAGACATATAATGTCACTTTTATTAAAAATTGATGTTTGTCACTAAAAAAGTTATAGAAATCAAGAAATTGACTGGAAAAAGTGATAAACACTAAAAAAATGACAAAATTCATAAAAGTGACCCCCATCAAATTGACATTGTGTTTGTCACTAAAAAAAGTGACAAAAAAAGTGACATTGCGTCACTTTTTTTAAAAAGGAAAAAGTGACATGTTACTTTTTATTAAAATGTGATATACAAATTTTATTAAAAATGATGTTTGTCATTCGAAAAAGTGATATAAATTTTAAAAAAGTGACAAGAAAAAAGTGACATACATTAAAGAAAAAAGTGAGAAAATTAAAAAAATGTAACAAACATTAAAAAAGTGACAGATTAAAATTTGTGACAAATATTGACAAAGATTAAAAAAGTGGCAAATAAAATAAAAAAAAAGTGACAAAAATTCAAAAAAGGGGACAAACACTAATAAAAGTGACAAAATTCAAAAAAAAATGACAAAACACCAATTAAAATATTAGAATGAGTTCAATAAAGTAACANAGACGGCCAATGTCTCCGACTTAGATACCATTAGTATCAACAATCAGATATTAGTGAAATGCACCCCCAGCTCATTAATGCCATTGTAGGACGTGGTTGAACAAGTAAATTCCAATTTGATTTTATCAAAAATTGATGTTTGTCACAAAAAAAAGTGATAGAAATAGACTGAAAAAAATGATGAACACAAAAAAAGTGACAAAATTAAAAAAGTGGCACAAATTAAAAGAAATTCTACGAATTAATAAAGTGACAGACAATAAAAAAATGACAAACACTCAAAAAGTAACAAAATTAAAAAAAAAAAGTGACAAACTAAAAAAATAAGTTTATCACCCCTTTTTTTGTTACTAAAAAAGTGACAAACACTCAAAAAGTGAAAAAATTCAAAAAAAAAAAAAATGACAAAACACCAATTAAAATATTAGAATGAGTTCAATAAAATAAAAAAAAAATGTAATATAATCAAAACATGATCAAATGACATTTGTTACATGATTGTGATTAGTTGGAATCAATTCAATAAAGTCCACCAGTACAAGCTCCATATCTACCACCTGCACCACCACCTAAACATCCACCGCTCCCTCCACCAAGTCCACCACCACCTCATGCTCCTGCTCCTCCGCCATGTCCACCCGCAGCTCCTCTTCCCAGTTCACCGACAACTCCACCTCCCAGTCCTCCACCAAGTCCACCACCTCCTGCTCCTCCACGGTTGGGGCAGATGATTTTATGGTGGAGGATTTCTCCATTCCTAATTTTAATGTTTCTGATACAATTCGAGAAATCCGAATGGCAGACCGGTGTCCCTGCTTGTTCTTGTAAGGAAAACGCGAAGTGTCGGTCGAGATTCTCAGTTCTGGGAGGTTCTCACTCTCATTGGGGTATTTTTTCATTCCCTGCTCCGATTCAAGCCTCTTCCGTACGCTCTCTTTCGACATCATTACATCCATCCTCAAAAATCTCCTTACATCCTTAAGAAAATCCGACAGCTTTACATCCTTCCACCAGTCGTAATTATCCAAAATAGCAAAAGGCTTAGCTTCATGATTTCGGCCCAGAATCCGGCTAATAGCAGTCGAAATCCCATAAACATTCCTGTCCAAGGCAAGAAGGTCAAGCTCGGACCGCTCAAGGCTCTTGCGGGAGGGATCTCATACGCGACCTGTGGCACCACCTACAAGAGCAATAACCTTATGCCAACATCGGAGGAACCAAGAAAGGAATATTGTACCAAGGAGGTTACCCAAATGGAGACTCTCAGCAGTAGGGTCGAACCCACAGGCGGAATCCCGGTAGGTCAAGTCCAAACTCCAAGACCAATTCAATACTATACAATTACCCTTGTCCCACCGTTTGCTTCCTTTGTCGCGCCACTTTTATCAATACATCCACCGACTATGCCGTGGAGGGTAGAGGCTTGACCACAAGCTAAAATTTATTCATACAGAGGAAATGGGGTAGGGGCTAAGTTGCGGACAATTACAATAAAACAGGTGGACCTAAGAGAATTGGGAGTGGTTTTGATAGTTTTAGACAGTATTAAATACTTGATTAAATTATTTAATCATTTAATAGGGTATTAATCAAATTAGTAATTTTTTTAGGGTATTAGACCTAGGGCGTGTTCGGTAGGGATTAAAATCAGATTAAAATTGAAAAAATAACCGTTATTGTTGACTTTTATTAGACGAGTGGGACCCAATAACGGCCATATTTTCAATTTTAATTGGATTTTAATTCGTACCAAACAGGCCCCTAATTTTCCCAAAAAAGAAAGACTGTAACATGTATT